GGATGTTTCCGCCTCATGCCATGATTTGTAATTGCTGCTATTACTGATCATGTAGCACATGTTACTAAACAGATACCAGTCTTCTTTACAACGAGAAGATTGAGCTAAATAAAATCATAAAAATGTAAGATTGAGTGGGTCTGGGGGCATTCTCCGCCAGAAAATGTTCGTATTTTCCACTCCTAAGACTACATTTTGAGCGTTTTCTGAAACATATTTTGGATATACAGTGTTACATTAGACTGTAGATGGACTGAATATTCAGTTAAGTACATGGCATATTACATGGTATCATTGGTATGTTTATATAAATACCACATTCGATGGTCACTAACTTGTTTAGCCCAGCTTTCCAATAACTCAAATCTACTATATGAGTAAATTGTTAAACACGTCCAATTTATTGCTGCGGAGCGAGCGAGCCGTTAGCGAGCGAGCGTAGCAGCAGCCTAATATGTGCAGAGAGGGGGTTTTGAACTAAATTTTATTTTGCGCATGGAATTGTGGTCGTGCGCGCTTTCTATGCGCAGAACACAAATTTTATACTCGCACGAGTCTTCGAATTTTTATTTATTTATTAACTTTACAACCAAACATAAAATAGATTAAACCACTACATAATATGGTTGAAGGTATGGTCAACAAGAACTAGGGATCCAAGGATAGTGTGAAGTTTCGAATTGAAAAAGACACTGCACGAACTATATATGGTCGCCGACAACCTAGAAAAGCTGATGGCTTACACTACGAAATAAACAGTTACCAAAGGCATTTCATCTCATTATTTATTGCTTTTAATACGCTCGGCACACGAGTAGCGTGACGTTTGAAACAACTAAAGCCTAACACACCAGAAACGTGACTTGTTTCACAAATAGTTTCACAAACAACCAAATTTTGCATATTCTAAATTTTCATTTGCATTTGCAGCTGTCGCTAAAAGCTCCCCACGAGGCTACTGCTATGCTAAATTTATCTAAACCTATAATTGGAATAGCTGTGTAAGATATGTTATGTATAATAAGCACTACGTCGTTACATCATTAAAAGGACGCATTTTATCCTCATCCGTTCCGTATTCTATCCGCATATCCGTTCCGTATTCTATCCGCATATCCGTTCCGTGGATCCGCTCCATCCGCTTCCGCCTTTTAACCTAATTGTGACATGCTTCACAATAACAAGTTTCATTGACCTTTGACTTTTCCCAGTGTCAGGGTCTCTGTAAAGAACTGAAACCGAAACGACCGAATCCGGAAACGACCGAAACCGGAAACGACCGAAACCGGAAATTCCCGCCTAAATTTCCTGCATAACGAATAATATATTATTTTGTTGATGCTCGACGCTGGCATATAAACATTTAGATAAATATCGTCCGAAAGTAACTAAAGGTTGTGTATTATTTAACTGCTGACAATTTTGAAAATTATTTAATAATCTTACTGCATCTTATTAACTTTCTGAACAATGCCAGTTCATGCTGGTTTTGTTTAATTTAATAAAAACGATATTACATTCACTTTCTCATTTGACATACGATACGGCTTCCACTAAAATGGCACGCTCTTGATTTTGAAAAAATTAAATACATGCTCATTTAGACGTATTCCAAATCCCAATTTATCTGACTGCATTTTAATAGCTTCAAATATTCAGAACACTGTTCTTTCAATCACAAGTACAAGTATTATTGCATTCAATGGTAGTATTTTATTCGACTTTTAATTTGTATGTGTATTGATTAACTCGTAATTATAAGGGATGAATGATTGAATGAATAAAGCGCATGGTTCAGTGCAGGCTCACCTTTCTACCAGTGAGCCTGCTAGCAGGCTAAATTTTAGGCAATTTTATGCAGGAAATTAGGCGGGAATTTCCAGTTTCGGTCGTTTCCGGATTCGGTCGTTTCGGTTTCCGTTCTTTACAGAGACCCCCAGTGTCACGTCTATTTTCAGCTTTTCGCATCGAGCATGTGTTGAATAATGTCACTTTAGATTTCAATAGTTTTACAATTAAGCAGTGTAGAGCAGTTTAAAGCAGTTTTGACAAGCTTTGAACAGTTCTGTGTACAGAATACTACAGATTGATTCTCGTAAGATCTGGTAGAGTTATCGTTGCACTGAACCTGAGTTTACACCGTTGACAACGGCGTTGTGCCAGACAGTCAACAAAGACAAGGCCCGTGACGGTACACGTTGGCTATATGTACCTCCTTGCTCTTTTTTCTATTGCATAAAGCTTGTTGGCGAGCCAAGCGATTGGCGATAACACGTTGGCGATAACACGTTGGCGATAACACGTTGGCGATAACACGTTGGCGATAACGCATTGGCTATCTCCTCGTCTTTCTTATTTAAATAAGGAGCTCTGACTCAACTGATTTCTTTAGTCTCGCAAGTTATTTTCTTCGTAAACACCGTACAAACGTTTAATACCCGCTTCTGTTTAATAGTTGTTTCGCTCTTTGTACTGAGCGTAGCCATCTATTCTGTGATGTAGCACCTTATACAGTCAATGACAATGTATAATGATACACGTTCTAAATAATATCGATGGGCACTTAATTGAATACCGGTAATGCACAACATAATAGTATTATTGCGTAGAATCTCAAAGGTCAAAGATTTTCTCAATATTCATGTCTGAAATGTTCATATACTTGAAAACAACACTGTCTCGCTTGTGCCTACGTATACTGTACCTCTGTATAACGAGTATGCCGTGAAAATAATATCGGCACTCCGGCAATTGAATGCCTAGAATCTCAAAGATTTTCTCAATATTTACGTCTGAAATGTTTATACATTTGAAAACAACACTGTCGCTCCTTCCTAGCCTCTGTATATTAATGAATATACCGTCCACGTATATCAGTACTTGATTGAAAGACCGTCATGCATAACATAAATTTATATATTGCGTAGATTCTCAAAGATTTACTCAATATTCACGTCTGAAATGTTTAAATTTATACATTTGAAAACAACACTGTCGCTCCTTCCTAGCATCGTGATCTACGGCTTCATAGCGCATGCGCATTTGCCCTGCTATAGAAAAAATCGGGTGTTCCGGGGGAAAAGTTCCTTTACACAACATGAGAAGCGAATGTTCTGAAATTACAAAAATTTACAATAACGACAACGATTCCTCGAAATTTTTGTGAACTTGGCAAAAGGACAAAAGAATATTTAAAGAAAATAAATAAAATTGCTTAAATAACCTTCAAAGTACTGACTAAGTACAATAAATCACTGCGAACAAAAATCGTATACACCCCCCGGAAAGTTTACTCTATGACTGACTGACTGATTGCCTGACTGACTGATTCGTGTGAATTCGCCAGCCATCACAGTCATCACAACAGTGTGAAGTGAAACTTCACACTAAAAAAGAAAAAGATCAAAGATCTGGGAATTATTGTCAAAAGCAACTTATCCTGGGATTCCCACATTTTCTCAATCGTCAGTAAAGCCAACATGATGCTTGGTATCTTAAAGAGAACTTGTCCCCTGATTAGAGACACTAAAGTTAGGCGAACACTATATCTGACTTTGGTAAAATCAAAGTTGTGCTACGCAACGGAGGTGTGGTCCCCAGCTAATGTGAAGCTACAAGCTGCATTAGAAAGAGTTCAAAGGCGCGCTACACGGTGGATTCTTAAAAGTAAAGTTGGAGAAATGTCTTATGAAGATAGACTGAAAACTCTCAATTTATTACCACTAACTTATGATCGAGAAATCCGAGATCTTGTTCTGGTCTATAAATGTATTTTCGGCCACACTGATTTGAACATTGAACAGTTTGTATCATTTATACATCATAATCGAACTCGTACTCAGAATCCATCTCTAATGTTAAGATCTTCTTACTGCAGAACATCCACTTTCCAAGGATCGTTCTTTAACCGAATAGTTAAAACTTGGAATCATGTTGGAAAAATAGCATCTCCTGAAAAGTTCGCCAGCTTAACTATTTTTAAAAGCTTTCTGCATGTGACATACACCGCGTTGGTCAATAGTACTTTTAATGTTGATACGGCATGCACTTGGTCGCTCACAAGAGACTGCCCCTGCCACCGTTCTTAATCTGCATGTTATGTAATATATATTTGTATAGTAAATTAGGTTTGGTTTGTTTTTTTAACTATTACTAGTTTAATATTAGTTTAGGGGTTGCGCCTAGCATGGGTCCCGTTGTCCCGTTTGCGCTATTCCCTTTGGACTTAAACTTGTAAATATTTCTACTATATTGTGTCCAATAAAGCTGATAAATAAAATAAAATAACAGGACATGAATAGCCCCATGTGAAGACCAACCTTAAAACAACCTTTATCGAATTTCTAAAGCTTTTTCAAGTCTAATGTTACGCTTACATTGTTTTGGACTTTGGCCACTGTCTGTTCTATATTTTTATAACGTTTTGGTTTCTTAGTGTGATAAATCTGTGTATATAGTCTATATAATGTGGTAAATGCGCCTTGATATGAAATCTGATCTTAATTTACCTGTATGTCAATGAGACGCACATGTTTAATATCTGTCACCTCTGATTACCCTTTAAGCCCTGTTCTTTGTAACTTCAATAGATATATTGCTTCTTCTCAGTTCCATTCACAGCTCACTAGTTGCTGCGAGTAATCACTGTGCTTGATATAATTTGTGCGGTTTACTGAGTTCTATTTGCTTTTAATTAATGCCTGCAGCAATCCCTACCTTGCAGGTACCCTAGTCAATATGATAAATTCGCAGCACCTAATCCCTAACCCCTAACTCCTATAACGCCTAATGTAACTTTTTAATTAAACTTTTTTTGGAAATCACCCCACACCGGCGCGACCAGCCTCTCTTTTAGTGAGTGCGATTACATTTATAACAAAAAGTCTTGTCAATGCTTGTGCTTATAACATTTATTCTTCACTGAAGGGCTTGAATCCGGGTTTTCCATTAATTTAGTTTATTGTACGATCATCCAGATTAAATTTCTTTAATTATTTCTGACGTTTCGGCTACCTACACGGCGGCCATTATCAAAGACGTATATGATAATGGCCGCCGTGTAGGTAGCCGAAACGTCAGAAATAATTAAAGAAATTTAATCTGGATGATCGTACAATAAACTAAATTAACATTTATTCTATTGATAATTTCAGACGTGCCGCAAATTTATCATATTGATAAATTCGGACGTGTTTAACAATTTACTCATATAGTAAATTCAAAGGTGGAGCTCATGTTGCGTCTGGGATATGCTATCCAGTGGAAAATTTTTTGAGGTATTTGCAACACAATGTTTAATTAACGTTTTTAAAAAGGCATTGAATCATTTGAAGATAAAAACATGACATATACGTTTCACAAAGCAAGGTTCATGTTACTAGAATATCAAACCGTCCTTCAGTAGATTCAAAGGTTATTTTTGTAAACATTTTTTGTATTTCTGTATGTGCTAGCAGAAATAATAGAACAATAGAAAACGAAACCTCTTCGGATAAAACGTCAATTTTTGTCTAACAACATTGAACGAGGGGGGGGGGGAGGGGAGGGGAGGGGGATTATGTTTCAGTCTCTAGCCTAACCGATCCGCAAATCACTGATTGTAGTCACACGAGCGCCGGATGCGGTTTGCGCGCTTCCCTGACCTTTCATTTAAAATTTCTACTGCAGGTCGAGGCAAGGATTTACTTAAGGTGGGCATGCAACATCCACTGTATTTCAAAGCTCATGTAATTTATATAGTAGAATTAATGAATTAGGTTAATTGGCGATGCATGAAAATGATCGTTGAAAAAAAAACAGCAATAACTTACCAAATGTTGTTGACACTGTAGTTCGAGGACCAGTGCCTGACGCTATTTAAAGAAAAACAATAATTTAATTTGGTAGAGGTTTGTTGATCGAAGTGCATAATTGTATAGCCCGCAGAAAAATTATACTATTTTTTTCTCGATTCAACACAGCCTCACATGTATTCTAAAAAAAGTGTTCGTTATCTTTTAAAAGGGTTAAGGCAGCAAAAGAAAGAGTATAAGTTACATAAAATCGCTTATGAATAAATGAATAAAACTAATGAATGCGCATATGTTGTGAAGGCGAAGAGGAGGATCTTAACAGAAGAGAGGGTATAGTTCTCCCTCTAAAGTTGTGGTGGCTATTATAGAGAAACATGCAAGCTCATAGATGAAGATGATATACTTACTCATCTTTCGCTTGCACACAAACGGCTTCAAAGTGAAGCAATTAACATCACTCCAATACCCAATATCACCATAAAGTTGTGTGCATGCTTCACGGCCATTGTAACTGTCAGGTTGTCCCACATCCCAATTTGTATAACTCACGGGAGTTTTGTCAGACCATGCATGACCTTAGAAAGGAAATATATGTTATTGACTGAGCGAGAGGTCGGGACTGTAGGATATTAGTCGATTGAACGGTTGTTTTTTCGTATGCGCTATATACGAATGAAAAACAATGACACTAATATCCAACAGTCTGGAAATAAGTTATTTATTACATGGCTAAAGAAAGTCAGACCATTCTTCGAAAAACAAATTTCTTCGAAAAACAAATTTCTTCGAAAAACAAGCATTTAAATTTAACATTTAAAAACGCAGGATTTTAAATTTTTGTAAACAATTTCTGGCAAAGAAATTAATATATTAAAAGTCGAAAACAGAGTAGTTTTCAGTCCAGTTTCAGTTCGCAAAAAAAAGTTCAAAGGCGGCATTTTAAGTGTTTTAAGAAGCGTTTTTATACATGTAAACAGCGTTTTAGGCTAATACAAACTAGAGTATAGAATATTTATTTAAAAAGCTTACCAAGGTGACATATTTAATAGTATTTTTACTGAGAGAAGAGTTATTTCCCCGTGAGCGGTCCATCTTCATACAGGGTGTATAAAAAAACTGAACAGATTTGAAATTGCTCTCAATATCGCAAAACAGCTATTAGTATCCAGTTTTTGATGTATATGGCTTCTTTGGGTACCGGATGATGTAGAATAATGAAAAAATCTCTCGAACTCAAATTTTGTGAACCAGGGGGGAGTGTCTTTTCCAACAAACTAAAAATGGCTTGCGCACGAAATTTAAAAGCTTTAATCTTATTTTGAGTTAATAGATGGAAAATGTGTTGGGTTTTTAATTACTATGTAAAAAAGGGCTTAAACTAAAGCAAATTGTCTGAAATTTTGTACAGTAATTAATTAAAAACCCAACAAATTCTCCACCTATTAACTCAAAATATGATTAAAGCTTTTAAATTTCGCGCGCAAGCCATTTTCAGTTTGTTGGAAAAGACACACCCCCTGGTTCACAAAATTTGAGTTCGAGAAATTTTTTTCATTATTCTACATTATAAGTACCCAAAGAAGCCATGTACATCAAAAACTGGATACTAATAGCTAGGGTCAGTCTATTTTGGCACGAAAATCTCTAGGCTGGGTAACACTTGAAGAGCGTAGGGCACAAATGAAAGCCAGGCTCATGTACAAGACAGTTAATGGTTTAGCCCCCCGACGACTATGCGAAACTTTCCAAAATCTGAATACCATTCATGATCATAATCTGAGAGGTTCTTCAACAAGGTTTTATATTCCAAGACCAAAAACGGAATCCTTAAAAAAAAGCCGCCGTTCCAATATAGTGGGGCTAAACTATGGAATCAGATACCTGAAGAGATACGCAATTCGGTATCGTATAATTCGTTCTGTAAAAAGCTATCTTCCTCGACCTTAATCTCGACTTAAAGTAGTAGTTAATTTTTTGTCTAAATAGGTATATAATTGTATTTGTTATGTATGTAATATTAGAGCTAGTATATAAATAATAATTTGTTAGTACACATCCCTTTTGGAAATCAGCTTTTGCTGAAAAGGCCAATATATGTGTTTAAATAAAGTTGCTCTATCTAGCTGTTTTACGAAATTGAGAGCAAATTCATACCTGTTCAGTTTTTTTATAAACCCTGTATAATAGTAGTCCATATACTATGAGGTCTGTGAGCGGTCCGTACTATAGGTTACCGACTGCTCACGAACCATGCATGCAATCAAAATGCTGAATTTTGCAGATGAACCACCATGCTATATCTTAATTATTTATTATCACATGAAAATACGTACAACCAGAAAGAAATACAGCAAAATGAATTTGAAGGGAAATTCGGCAACAAACGTCAATGAGAAGAATTTTCAATGAGATCACTGATCCAACCGCCTACGGCAAGTTGTAGTTGTACGAAACCTGGGTAGCACTATCGATGCACAGAATAGTGATTTTTTTCAACCTTTGTAAAAATTCTATAAACTACGGATATCAAAATCACAATTAATAAAAACAAACTTAGGTTTAAACTTGGTTTTATACAAACCATGCAGAGGACAATTTTAAAAAGGTTCAAAAAATTACTATCCACTGGATTGCGCTATTCACCATCGTACATCTGGCTCCTGTTCTATATACATCATGCATTCTTACGCGTCTTATAATTTAACTAATACATACTTTTGCCTAGCTGTTTCATTATTTAATATAGAAAGAGGGAACTCACCTCTGTATACACCACGTCCTTCCAGACCAATCCAAATAGTGGTATTAGCTAAATTGGCGATAAAATCATTTTCTTCCTTGCTTGTTACGCTTGCTAAATTACCACGAGGGGAAGAACTACGTGAATAACAGAAGAGACGAGACCCTTTCCATGACCGCCTATGAAAAATATTTCAAGACTGAGTCACAAAGAATTGTTGAAAAAGTCCTAAAAAAGCAGCCGTTAGTATACTGTATATTATGTAATAATATATAACATAATATTGGTTAAGACAAAACGTTAAAGCAACAAAATTCATAAACATTAAACATTCAAAGAAAAGATGCCCTATATTTCTCAATTCTTCAAACAAAAAATTGCTTCAAAGTTCGTTGTATATGAAACGATTTCCAAATATTTGTCTTTGAAAATTTAAATCTTGCAGCATGCCTATCCCACTCCTGGCAAGCAAACATATTTTTGAGATCAGTGAGGAGGAGGCCCACCCATACACCATGAACCTTGTCGTCACTTCAGACTTCGATCGCTAATGCTTTCCTCTCCCCGGGTGTAAATAGCTGGGCGGAATTAGTACCCGAAGAGGGCCCAGGGCTTACGGCCGAAACGGCGATCCGCGACGTTGGCTCGGAGATTATAAAATGCGATTCGGAGCACACTTTAATTATAGTGTATTAAAAATACCTTTAATTAGGATGATTAAATTATATAACTAGACGCACAGCTTATTCATTAACTAGATTGGTTCCTACTTCAACTTTAGTACTTTACCTACCGATAATTGTAGTATCTGTAGCAGTTGTTTTTAAACAATGTCCAGCCAAAAGAACATGAACCTCCTAACGCTGTAAAGTAAAAATTTAACAGATAATAAAATTGTAACAATATAATGATTTTATGACTTATATTCAATATACGATCTAATGCGAAAAAAGCGTTGACTATGATTTGAAAAACAAACCTGTTTTAGGTGTAGTCGTTGCGCTTGATGAAGCTTTGTGAAAAGAAAAGGAGAGGAAAGATAATATTATTATATATGAGAATTACAGTAATGGAAGGGAGTCAGAGTACCCATGCCTATTGCCTATTGCCTGACAAATATATATAAGGCATGGGTGGATTTACTGGGGGTGTTGGCCGTTGGGGGGATGTTAAACCCCCTAGAATCTCTCTAACCCCTCTTATAAAGTGTTCAACCCCACCAAAATTTCGCTTCTTCCCTCCTATTTTGGGCGAAATTCTTTAATCCTAACGCTTTACCGGGCCTGGTAAAGCTCGCTCAGTGGTTCCGCTTGCACCCCACTAGAAATTTTTCCACCCCAACTTTAAAAAATGAAAATACGCCGCTTCCCAATTCTCCAGATGCTCGTGGTGTACGTACGTGCCCAACAATCGATGTCAGTAAATCTCAATTTTTCATAATATTACACCTAAATGCAAGCCACTGGTTTCTTCATAGAATTTCGTAACGTCCTTCGTCTTTGTTTATATAGTTAGCAACAAAAACAGAGGAATTTTCAAAGAAATAAT